ATGGCATACACCTCAAGATCGCCATTTTCCAAATCACCAGCCTGCAGACAAACAACGTGTGGAGAATGCAAAACATGTTCATTTAAGAGCAAGGCGTAGGCAATGAATACGTTGTGCACCGGTATCACGTACGAGATCTCCAGGGTACTGGCCGTGAGCCGTTCCTCACCGCTGGCAGTGGCAAGCAATTTGAACTGAGGGAACAGCGAAAATCACGACGAATTCCCACAACCTGCACCCGCATCTACAAATTCAGTGCTGTTTGCCATGTCTGGTCTTGCGTGAGAGAGACTGAGAGACATCCAAAACTGAGCTCCAAGCTCCATGCAGCGATCATGATCTAGAATGCATGCTTGTACGACGTAAATTGCAGCAACTTCGTCCACCTCAGACTGACAAAGAAGTTTTCTGTCCTGGCTCGGAAGCGACTACCAAGCACAATGCCTGCCACGCTCGAAGAATGCACTGCAGGAAGAGTTCGATCAAAGCCATCTCTCGGGAGGACAAGCGCAATTCGCCCTGTGGGTAGGGTCCATGGCAGTATGCTTTCAGCTGCTTAGACTTCTTGATCGTAATGCGCTCGCACGAAAGTGTTGCGCTCTGCCGGTACTTGCCATCAGTGTGTTATCAAGCAGCTTTTGCAAATCATCCATAGGTCTATGACCGCTGCCTTCTTCGTGTCTGAACAAGGAGCTGTCTGGCTTGGAAGTTTCAGCGCTCGCTACTTACAGCACGCATGGCTGCATGGCTGATCCAGACCAGATGTCGCAGTCCATGAAAGTCTCCAAGTTTACAAACCCCCAGATTTGACATGTTGGAATGCGAAATCAGAATTAGCCGCACGTCGGTCACTCGCCTGCATGCCAAATAGCTCCTCGAATGGCAAGGAAGGCTAACCAGCTCTGTACATGGCTGCGAAATAGCGTGGCACATCTCTGCCGAAATAGCTGATGCAGGATTCAGCACGCTGCTTCATGGTCCTGTGGGCAAGAAGACAGGTTTAGGGTTTAGGGTTTAGGGAGCCTAAACCCTAAACCACCAAAACGTCCCGGATCTTGCTGGGCCTTACTTCGCCTCTCTTGCAGCTGCACGGCGTTGAAGCAGAGTCGGCCCTGCAGGCGCACGGAGCTCGATTTACTAGGGCCTCTGATCTGGGAGTTTCCGAAAATAAGGGGTACCTTGGGAAACCCCACCTCCCTTTTCTGCCAGGACCTCGATTCCAGTCTAAGCCTCCATGGTGCTCTTGCTGTGACGTATTGAAACGTAGACTTATAACCAAAATGTGAGGGCACCTTGCTCGACGTCGCCCACCGCCGCTGCAGGAGCACCTGACAAAGTTGGGCCAAGGAGCCACATCAAGAAAAGCAAGATGGGGGTTTCCGAAAATAGGGGACCCTAATATAGTACCCTAAATAGTAGGATCCTTATTATAAGGACCCCGAAATAAGGTACCCCCCTATTTTCGGAAGCTCCCAGATCTTGCTTTCTGAAGCTCTGCACAATTTTGCGCCTTCGTAGATGCCGCCGGGTACCAGGTTGCTTCCTGAAGCAGGGAGGAAGAATGTCGCGGCCATGCCGCGAAAGAACAGGTTGGAGGTTCAAGATTACGCCTGCTGGAGACTGCAATGAGATGAATTGTTGGCCTTCTGGTTTTTGCCCTGCCTGTACAGAGGCCTTAATTTGAAGGTTTCGAGCTGGTTGAATCTTCTTGCATCAAGTCGAGCGATATCAGCAGTTCCGGTGCCCTGAACCCTAAACCCTAAAACCTAAACCCTAAAACCCGAAAGCCCTAAACCCTAAAAACCTCTACCGGTGTGGCCTTTGAATGTCAGGCTTCCGGGTCGCAGCGTCGAGCCGCATCCGGCATCGCACATCGCAACCTTTGTCGGCGCTTGACCGTCTACTATTATATAATATAATATAATATAATATAATATAATATAATATAATATAATATAATATAATATCATACAATATAATATAATATAATATAATATAACATAATATAATAT